CTCGTTTACCTTACTAATTGAGACAAATATAGCACCTTAACTCGATAACATCGAATAACTGGCTAATTAACCCACAAAATCGATATAAAACATCGAAATCAGAGTTTAAACCAGTTTCTATTTACACAATAGCAAAACAATTCTGCTCTCACTAATTATGCAGTAATTAATCGGTCGCAAACTGATGGAATTTAAACCAGAGATTAACGGATGTAGCGTCAATTTGTCCTGAAGTGTAAACCTATAGCACGACAACAGCCGATACAGAGTAATATTAATTGTCTAATTTATAACTGTAAGGGTATTCTGTTAGGTATCGATCGTAGCTACTTCTGTGGCAAGTTGTTTTTACGACTTACTTATGTCTATAGTTATTTTTAAACTCATATAAAAATACTATAAATTCTTCGTGATCTAGAGGAATAGCATACTGCTTTGCTTCCGATGGTAACAAGTTTGATTTCTTGCACTGTGCACACAATTGGATTCACGAGTATGATTGGTATCGGTCTAGGTGTTTTTTATGTATATTGTGTATGTATTTATAAAAGAAATATCTAAGTATTGATAGTTATTTAGTACCCATAACTCAAGCTCTGCTTAGTTTGCGCTATATGGCGCCGTGTGACTTATCCATGGTTTTTCTAATATGATTTCTATCAGTGGTTTTGTACTCATAATATAGCTGTTATTAGCTTAGGATTAGATAACTGTGTGATTTATACTGGATTTATCTTATAACTCACAACGACGAGCAACACCGAAGTTTCTTACTCATTCTTGTGATGAGTTTTCGTTCCGAATGAGTGGCGAAATAGAAAAATATTTTATTTATTTATTAAAACTTTATTGCACAAATACATAAATAAAGGTACACATGGTATTAACACCATGAGGCATTTTCTCCCAGTTAACCATTGGGCAAACAGAAATTCACCATAACAAAGTTTGAAAATCAAGTCTAAAAAAATATAAAAATGAAGATAACTAAAAATATGATTATAAAAATTGCTTATATTAAGTTCATTTGAATAAAGATAGGTAGGAGGTATATCGGCCTTTTTTACGAGGCTAGACATAGGCTATTATCTCAAAAGCAGACGAAGTCGCGGGTAGCAGATAGTATCGTGAAGACGAAGCAAGCTGCTAAACACAAGCAAGTTGTTTCGGCTTCACCGGATGTTTGTGTTTATGTCTTTCCATAAGTACAAAACTATATTTATAAAATAAACAAGAACTCTACGCTATCACGCCACGAACATATGCTAATTCAGGAAGGATGGAATTCGACCCCGAGCCCTCTATTAATTTCACCTCATAAACTATAAAAGCTGCCGCCTTCCAACTGGGCGTCCCATCCGTCACTGCCACACCATAACACTCCCATTATGACGTCATAAAACAAACACGCTTTATTCCGAACTACATATGTGACCGGATCCGTCTACTATAATGTACTAGTCTATATGTTAAGCCGCCATCACACGTTTGTATACTTCCTTAAGTACAGTAATAAAATTTAAGTTACTTAGCAATATAAGTTATATTATAAGTTTTACTTATTGTAATACATGATATGATAGACTTATCTGAGCTATATGCTGAGTAGGTAGCCTATTCAGCTTTTTGCGGCACATATAGCCACATTCAATACTTTTATTTGTACATGTATTTTTACTGTACCTCATGTAATATATCTGTAATTGGTGAATAAATAATTTATCTATTTATTTAAAAGGGCTGACTTATGACAATTTTCATACATATATAAATAATGTAAATGTAAATGTAGCCCTACGAATACTTCTGCTGTATCAAATCGGAGCTGAAGTCAATATGTTAATATCAAATAATAATCTCAGAGAAAGAAATAAAGAGGAAAAAAAAAATAAAAGTTACAATAGCGTTTACATTTGTAAAGTCGCAAGTTTAAGAGACTTACGCGAATTGCTTACGCGTTAACGCGTAAGGCTATAGGTTATGAGTGTGAAGGTCGCCTTATAGTAATATGCTGATAGTTTCATCATATTCCATTTCCGACTACCTTCAAAACTTGTCATGCATGAAAAATTCACTGCAATATAATGCTTTTATCTGTTATTGAATCACTGTATTATTTTGATGTAATACCCAATATGAATAAATAAAGTTGCACCAGCGGAATTGAAATGTGTAAATGTTTTTATTTTATTTTATATTAAAATACATATTTATGACATATAAACAGAAAGAGATTAATAAATTTAACACTACATAGTATAAAACAAAGTTGCGGTCGCTGTCTGTCCGTCCCTATGTATGCTTAAATCTTTAAAACTACGCAACGGATTTTGAAGCGGTTTTTTAATAGATAGAGTGATTCAAGAGGAAGGTTTATGTGTATAATGCATTTTACACTCATGCAAAGCCAGTTGATTATATAAACAGATAAAAAACTGCAAATTGATATTCAGTTAGTATAATTAATCATTTATTTGTCATCTCTAAGTGAATTAGGGCGCTGATACACAGTCGATTAACCATCAGGTTTTCCGAATGTGTTTAATGTTCTGATGGACTCAAATAATCGAGTATATACGTCAGTATAATGTAATATAACAGTTTAACTAATAATAATAACATTGTATTTCTTGAGATTTAGATATACGTAGAATATTTTACATTTAACTATAACTTTTAATTGTGTACTTTTACTCCAGTCTTAAGAAGTATAATTAATGAATTATTTGTCACCTCTAAGTGAATTAGGGCGTTGATACACAGTCGATTAACCGTCAGGTTTTCCGAATACGTTTAACGTTCTCATGGACTCAGATAATCGAGTATATACTTCAGTATAATATATAATATAATAGCTTAATTTATATATACATATATAAGACTTTTCAATGAAATAACGAAAAGGTTAGTCCACATCATAGAAAACCGAAGAGCTGGCAGCTACCTCGGACAAAGAATTACTCTAGCCATTCAAAAAGGGAACACTGCCAGGATCTTCGGATCCTTGCCTAAAGGGACTCCTTTTGATATTATATTTTAGTTATTATATAATGTTAGGGAAACTACGCTCTGCTTCCAAAATGTTATGGAAACTACTCTCTGCTACCAAAATGTTAGGGAATTTACTATGTATATATATAGGGAAAAGCGTCTGTCACGTACCTGTATGGTTCTGCGGATTTCTTGGGCTTCATGGTCTCGAAGGTATCTTCGCTAGCTTTCCAGTTTCACAGTAGGTTTCACAGTTCTAATTTATTTTAATTCACAACAAATGCGCGCGCGCGTCAAGGCCGCTGTACGGTCCGTTTGTTACTAGGTAAGGGAGGGGAGGCAAAGGCGCGGGAACAGAAAACTAACGGACTCTAATATAATAATCTGTGCTTACGATGTTACAGGGTAGATTTTGAACATATAATATTTTTAAGGTTTTTAATTTTAGGTTCTTAGTTGTAAGTAATTTAAGTGTCATTTGAAATATGTCATTGTCAACTGCTCAAATGTCAAATCACAGACCAGACACATTATTAGACATATAGTTTAACTAATAATAATAACTTTGTATTTCTTGAGATTTACATATACGTAGAATATTTTACATTTAACTATAAATTTTAATTGTGTACTTTTATTAGTATTTTAGTCTGAAACTCAACTGAGCATGAACTGCTAGAAATACTCAAATATTACTTCTTTTGTAAATATATTCATAATATAACAGTACGTCGCAGATACCCAGACTAATATAGACAGTTCTCATGAATACAAATGTTTATATTGACCGGACATCGAACCTGCAACTATTAGTAGTAGAGACAATGTTAAAATATCAATTGAGTGAAATGAAAATGAATAATAATTTTAATATGTCAGGATAATGCACACAACGCCGTCTAGCCCGAAGATAAGGTTATGTTGTGGGACAACTGATACAAACTGATACACTGATACTGATAAACTGATACATGGTTACATTTTTTTTTAATACATACTTAATCTTTCTATATATATATATATATATATAAATATATATAGAACAGCCAGAGCTATAAAAACGTAAAAAAACAGCAAAATCTGAGAAAATGTGACAACAATAAAAATATAATAATCTCAGGACAATTCACACAGCGCCATCTAGATCCAAGTAAGCTCGATAAAGCCTGTGTTATGGGTATTAGATAACAGATACAAATACTATGTATTACTAAATACATAGTTTTTTCTCGTAAATACGTATTATACATAGACCGATACAAACAATCATACCCATAAATACAAATGTTTGTGCCGTGCGAGGAATCGACCGTTTTTTTTCGGACTACTCTAATGCTGTTGACCGCACCTGGCCTTTACAGCTTCACCGGACGTTATGAGGCGAGTGCAGATGGCACTCCTAACCCGCGGAAGGACTTTTGGAGCGGCTGAAGGCTAACTTCCCCTGACGGATACGATGGAATCGACCATCGGAAGTAAAGCGGTGTGCTAACCGCTAAACCACCGGGGCTAGCTAGCTGTACCTGCGAATTCGTCCGCGTGGAGTTTAACTTTATTTTCTAAAATAAACGTAGCCTAAATTACTCCTTATTACATCAGATACCAGCCAATAAAAGTCCCATCAAAATCGGTCCAGCCATTTCAGAGATTAGCCGGAACAGACAGATAGACAGACAAAAATTGTAAAAAATATTATTTTGATGTACGTACCGTATTTATATTCATATGCATGTAGTAAAATACGGTTATTTCAATATTACAAACAGATACTATAATTTTATTTATATGTATCATCTATACATATAAATTAAATATAGATAGTAGTAATATCTACACATCAGAATAGTACATAGGCTATAACTTTAATGCGGGTGAAACCGCAGACATAGCTAGTCTAATACATAGCGATGACGTAATTCGTAGACCATATATCCCACCTTTGACACTGGTAAATCACATTTACGCCCTAATATAATGCATATAGAATATTAACGGTAGTAATTATATGCGAGCCAGTTAATTTATGACAATGATACGTCCTATGCACTGGAGGTTAGCTATTACTCGGCAGCGTGTGTTAATATTGCACCCTTGATGTGAACTGTCATATTTCATATATGCCTTAGTTGATGCCGAATTTAATTAAATTTTGACCGACTTAAAAATGCGACGGTATATTATAAAAATTGCACCCCTGTCGTGAAACATGAAATGTCACATTTCTTATATGCATTAGTTGATGACGAATTTAATTAAATTTCGACCGACTTAAATATTGAGGGATATATTATAAAAATTGCACCCTTGTCGTTAAATGTGACATTTCGTATATGCATTAGTTGATGATGAATTTAATTAAATTTCGACCGACTTAAATATTGAGGGATATATTATAAAAATTGCACCCTTGTCGTGAAACATGAAATGTCACATTTCTTATATGCATTAGTTGATGACGAATTTAATTAAATTTCGACCGATTTAAAAATACGAGGGTATATTATAAAAATTGCATCCTTGTCGTTAAATGTGACATTTCGTATATGCATTAGTTGATGATGAATTTAATTAAATTTTGACCGACTTAAAAATGCGACGGTATATTATAAAAATTGCACCCCTGTCGTGAAACATGAAATGTCACATTTCTTATATGCATTAGTTGATGACGAATTTAATTAAATTTCGACCGACTTAAAAATGCGAGGGACATATTATAAAAAATACACCCTTATCGTTAAATGTGACATTTCGTATATGCATTAGTTGATGATGAATTTAATTAAATTTCGACCGACTTAAATATTGAGGGATATATTATAAAAATTGCACCCTTGTCGTGAAACATGAAATGTCACATTTCTTATATGCATTAGCTGATGACGAATTTAATTAAATTTCGACCGATTTAAAAATACGAGGGTATATTATAAAAATTGCATCCTTGTCGTTAAATGTGACATTTCGTATATGCATTAGTTGATGATGAATTTAATTAACTTACGACCGACTTCAAAAATGGAGGGACATATAAAAATTGCACTCTGGGCATGATGTGTCATTTCTTATATGCATTAGTTGATGACGAATTTAATTAAATTTCGACCGACTTAAAAATGCGAGGGACATATTATAAAAAATACACCCTTAAGGTGAAATATTACATTTCATATATACATTAGTTGATGACAAATTTAATTAACTTACGACCGACTTCAAAAATGGAGGGACATATAAAAATTGCACTCTGGGCATGATGCGTCATTTCGTATATGTATTAGTTGATGAGGAATTTAATTAAATTTCGACCAACTTCAAAAATTGAGGGACATATTGTAAAAAAATACACCCTTAAGGTGAAATATTACATTTCGTATAAGCATTAGTTGATGATGAATTTAATTAATTCTCAACCGACTTAAACTAGTTGATGACGAATTTAATTAAATTTCGACCAACTTCAAAAATTTAGGTACATATTATAAAACTTGCACCCTTGACGTGAAATGTCACATTACATATATGCATTAGTCGATGACGAATTTTATTAATTCTTAACCGATTTCAATAATTGAGGGATACATATTTTATATATAAACTCTATATTGCACTAAACATATAATGCAAAAATTATTCTGATAAGAGCATTTGATGTATAAAAGGCTGATTTATTCCAAACATTGTCTTCCAGACAACAATCTACTACTTTTGTCTATTTTTCTCTACCTACAGGTATAGGAAAGCGACAAAAGTAGCAGGTGTCGCATGAATTGCATAGTTTAGAAAATAACATACAATATATAAAATGAATAGATATATTTTTATATATAAAAAATACGTGACAGACGCAGCGTGGGAAGGCCTCCAGCAAGGTGGACCGACGATCTGGTCAAGATCGCTGGAAGGCATTGGATGCGAGCAGCGCAGGACCGATCGTCGTGGAGATCTTTGGGGGAGGCCTATGTTCAAATTCAAATTCAAAAATCATTTATTCATGTAGGACATTTTAGCCGCTTATGAACGTCAAATTTTTACATTCTAATTTTATTTTTTTTCCCTACCGTCCAGTTCGGTATATAGATCCAATTGAGAAGAATGCAGCAGTGGACGTCTTCCGGGCTGCGATGATGATGAAAAATTAAGTATTACGTTGTGTGTCTGCGATGGGCTACTAAACTACTGAACCGATTTCAAATTAGATTTGTACATTGTGTGCAATTTGATCCAACTTAAAAGATAGGATAGCTTACATCTCAATTTAAAGTCGCAATATTGTTATTCAAAAACCTTAGCCACAAGAACGCGTGACCGGGTCTGCTAGTAAATATATAAGAATAGAAAACTAAAAAGAACCAAATATTTCATCTAATTCGATAAAATATATACAATAATATTATCTATCGAATATTTTGAACTCACAAATGATCTTTGACATATATATATTCCAACATACTTCTTTCAAGAGATGGAATATTAAAGTATACGAATAGAAATTGAATTTACAGACAATCTATGTACGTACATTTTACTTGTGTCTCAGTTACTAAGTGGATAGATAGATATATCGTTATTTGTTTGTTACTAATCACATACAACATGTTCATAAGAATGGACAATACATAATACGACATAAGATTTACAAGTTTGTGTTTTTATATGTGATCCGTAGCAATACAAAAAGGTCGAAGCTCAGCGTGGAACGTTGTTCAGGGAACAAAACACTTATTTTCAGCTTCAACCCATTTGAGAGTACGTGAAAATAATAATTAAAATAAATATAACATAAAAAGTACCTAATAGTAGATGGAAAAATACCCAATAACCTGCTGTACGGCACGTCTACTCATAAATCAAATATTGAAAGATTTATTACACCTTATTGTAATTGATAGAGTGAATATATACCTTTTAAAACCTTTGTACAAAATATTTTTTAAACTGAAAGTTAATATATTAACCTTTATACGTCTAATAAACAATAATATTAAAGCTATTGACGTAATTTGTTATTATTTTTTACACTTTATTGAAATTTATACAGAGTGAATGTACACCTTTACAAAACTTTGTACAAAATATTTTGTAAATTATAATTTAATATATTATAAGCTATATATGTCTAATAAACAATAATATTAAAGTTATTGACCTACTTAGTTATTATCTTTACAAATATTTTTTTTACTAGCTGATCCGCGCATTTCTAATCGTGAAAGAATTTTTGAAATCAGCAAAGTAGTTTTTGAGTTTATTCATTACAAACATACATAAATACAAAAATATAAATCTTACTTCTTTATAGTATTTGGGTAATCTACCCATTCACAAAAACTCGTGATATAAATAGGAAGAAAACTTTCCATCATACGATAAAAATTTTGAAAATAATTTAATTGTAAATGTATATGTAAATAAAATTCAATGAAAACAAATTAAATTTATAATAAAATACAAAGTTCAGATATCGTAACTTATTTATTATTATTATTAAAACGAAGAATAATGTCTGTCTATTTTTCTAATCCGTTAGATTACCATCTCGCCAACCGTTTTAATTAAGCGAGCTTTTAATTGAGTTTCTTATTCTAATTTTAACTGAATCCGTTTTTTGTTACCGTTACAATTTACGGAGCTTTAAATAAATTGATAACATCAATGGGTACTCAGTACAGGTAAGTAAGCTTTTTTAGTTAAAAATTTAATTAATCTCAGGACAATTCTCACAGTGCCATCTACTCCCAATTTAAGCTTGTGTTATTGGTAACTCATACAAATACATAGTTTTATTATTTTTTTGTAAATACATGCGTATTAAAGACAGAAAACACTCAAACCGATACAAATAATCATACACATGAATACAAATGTTTGTACCGTGCGAGGAATCGAACCCGCGACCCAATGGTCGCAGGTTCGATTCCTCGCAATGGCCTTTTATTATTATTCTTCATTTTCACAGCTTTTGCTGGTTTTTTATGCATCACATTTACGGGCCGAAACCAAGTAAGTGCAGTGTGCGTGCGAGTGTGTGTGCGTGCGTCCGTGTGTGTGTATGTATACAAACGTACGTACCGTGCGAGGAATCGAACCCGTGATCATCAGAAACGAAGCAGTGTGCTAAACCGTTAGATCACTGAGGTTATCAATTATATCTTTCAAACATGCAGTATATTACCAAATTACTTGTCACAAACAATGTCATATGTCACGTCCAGGCAACATTCGATTGGACAACAACCGTTCCTCTGCTTGTAGCGATTTTCCGCTGCAGTGACTAGATTAGTAATTGCATCTTTGTCTAGCACGACTATACAGAGCACTATACGGTCTATAGAGACAAATGTCCCTTTGCAGGTAGACCATAACATGTATGTCTGGCTTTATGTCCCTTAAAGTGATTGATTATGCGCCTATAGTCTATGCAGATGCCATTGTAATAGATAACTATAAAGCCTAACATTCACGAGTCAACCGATATTTATGATTCTTTTTTAATTAAATGTTGTCTTTTTAATATTATAAACGCGAAAGTTTGTGGATGGATGGATGTTTGTTATTTTTGCATACAATAACACATGCTATAAATTTCATGCGGGTAAAATCGCGGGCAAAAGTAGTAATTTTATATAATAGACCTTCACGAATAAAGATATTTAAATACAAGGATAGCCTCGTTATACAGTCTATCTTTATGTCTAATTTTATTAAAATCTATTCAATCATTTTCTGAAGTTTCGCATTTATAATATACTAGCTACTCGCCTCGGCTTCGCACGGGTACATGTTTCATATATATAAACCTTCCTCTTGAATCACTCTATCTATTAGAAAAAACCGCTTCAAAATCCGTTGCGTAGTTTTAAAGATTTAAGCATACATAGAGACGGACAGACAGCGACAGCGACTTCGTTTTATACTATTTAATGGAGTGATTTAGATTATTTTTGTTATTATATGACCGGTAAATACATTTGTATCATTATTTATTTGAATAGTTCATATATTCGTCGTTCTATAATTTGTTATTAAAACTACAATTCCGTGCTATAAAAATGATCAAAACATACCAATGATATTAGTTTTTTGCACACGAAAGGACACAAGATTGCGCTCTAATAACTCCGAAATTGTCAATTTCTATGGCATTCATTTATTCGTGTAATGAGAGGGAAAGATTATATCTTGATGCCTGTTCGGTAAATACCACGAAATTGTTGTCATTATTCGTGTAACGTTTTGTAAAAGTCATCGCCCAAAATGTTTGCAGCGCGCCGATACTGTGTCGTGATATTTTTCATTTGTGTGACTTGTACGGTGCTCGCTGAGGAGAGAGGTGAGTGGTCATTCGATATTTGACAATATAAATAAATAAAATTTAATAACAATTGTATAAAAATAAAATATATTACATTAGCTTTTGTAATAACATATGCTGGTTGGCTCTATTTTCCCAAATTTGAATTTAAACGAATCTGTGTTATTGTAAACATGTACTACATTTATTGAAAGGAATATGAACAGAGTTGCTTGTCAGTTCTTCTCATCTCAAATCATTCCGAACTGACGGTAGATTTGACATATTATAAGAGTCTGTAATAGGCTTACATGAATAAAGATATTTTGAATTGAATTGAATTTAATTAAAATTTATTATTGAAGTCAATGACAAATAAAACATTGAATTTTGTAATATTTATTCAACTAATAAAATTTAATTAGATTCATATTAAATTAAAATATGTTAGATTATTATTTATTATTGAAAGAGTCAAATGAAATCGTAATTTCAAACTAACTAATTGCATACGAAAGTACATACGATACTTACATCGAGAAGTTATTTAAATTAATCTTAATCTCTTAAGTGATTCAATCAATTTCGGTGGTACTTTCAATCGCAGATAGTAGTATAATAAGTAACTTAAGCTACTTTCATTTTAGAAATTATATTTATTTTAATGTGATTTGGGTACTAGATATACTTAGATAATTTTTTTCTATAAATACACATATTATGTACATAGATAACACAGACTAATGCAAACAATCTTACTCATGAATACAAATGTTAGTACGAATGAAATTGAATTGAACCTGCGACCATCAGATGTTAAATGCTGTCTTAAATCACTAGACCATCATGGCCGTCTAATATAGAATAAAGACTACATTAACTTGAAAAAAATCCAAGCAAATATAGTAATAGAAATAGAAATAGGAATAATCTTTATTCAAATAAACTCATTACAAGCACTTTTGAATAGTCATATTTTGATTCTACCACTCAATCGGAATGCAGATTCATCACAAGAAGAATGAGCAAGAAACTTGTGTGTTGCTCTTTTTAAAGTTAGTCTTTATACATATAGGAAAACGTATTTGTTTTTGCTTTTTTTGTTTCAATATTTATAAAAATTACAGAGAATCCATTCACCACGGTGGTCCGCAAGACACTGATTAGCACGGCCAGATCTTGTATGGACCATGTTAAGGCGACCGAGGCAGATTTAGAATACCTTCGAGATGATCCGCCGTATCCTGAAAAAGCTGCTTGCATCATCAAATGCCTGTTGGAAAAGGTAAATAATTATTATAGTAAAAATGAATGACAATAGAGAGATGCTTGTATAGACGTCTTTTATTGCAGAGCTTTTATTACAGTGATAGAAGTATTATAAAACAAAAAGTATATAAATAATATCATATTTTGAATACGGATAAAACAATATATAAAAACTGCCAGTGACACTCATTGTAGGTCTAACAATTATTTACCCACACACATATTTTGACTTCGTAAAAAATCGTATACGTACTCTTGACCTTAATCTCGAATATTTCAAAGCAACTACTTCACCTTAACTGAACTCACCAAATACTCTCACAATCATTATCATTATCATCATTACATAATAAAAAACGAAGTCGCTGTCTGTTCCTATTTATGCTTAAATCTTTAAAACTACGCAACGGATTTTGAAGCTGTTTTAAATGTTTAATAGTGATTCAAGAGGAAGGTTTATATGTATAATACATGTACACTTGGGCGACGGCAGGGCGAGTAGCTAGTTACTAATAATTATTAAAAGGTTATTCTAGATGTGTTGCTTGTTTATTAATCATAAATACGTTTGTTGCTGGAACAATCTTCCACCGCCAGTTAGGAGTGCAAAATCATTATTCACCTTTAAAAAACTATACAAGAATTATGTATGACTATTTAACCTATAAATCTTACGGCAAAGTAGTTGTATATATATGTTTAATGTTTATATTTATTAATGTTATTTTAATCTATTTTGTTCTTTCTAGTATATGTAATTAGTTTGTATTTATTAGTGGCAATTTTGTTTTAATTATTATCATTAATATTTTAAATAGTGCCCTCTCTCTGTCCCCCTATTTTTTGGTGCCACTGAAAACCAGCTGTATGTTCACCTAGGACATTTCCATTTCAGTGCATTTTTGGATGTAAAAAATGATTATTTTATGTTTATTTTTAATTATCTACATGGTAAATTAAGTTTAATTATATATACATTTTATTTGCTCTTTTTTTCCGCTTATTGTTTATATTGTTTATATTGTATTTTTTACATTGCACTGAATAAAATATTTTTCTTTCTTTCTTTGTTTGTAGATTAAAAAAAATGAAATATTTTATATTAGTTATAAATTCAGCATATGAGTATTTTACTGTAGCATATGAAGACTCTGTGTGGGCATAAAACTATCCTGCTTTTTAGCACAGTCACATAATTTTAATTGTCAGGCATTGTTGTTTTGTAACAACAATAATAATAATAATAATCTCAGGACAATTCACACAGCGCCGTCTAGTTCCAAGTTAAGCTAACTAAAACTTGTGTTATGGGATCTAGATAACTTGATACAAGTACATAGATATATTTTTTTTCGTAAATACATACATATTATACAAAGAAAACACCGACACACAAGACCGATACAAACAATCATACTCTTGAATACAAATGTTTGTACCACGATGGAATCGAACCCGCGACCATCGGAAGTAAGGCGGTATGCTAAACCTAAATTAAAAAACAAATACTGCTGTGTAATGTGTGCTTTGTTTGTAGGGTAAGGCAAGTTAATAAGGTAAGTTATAGGACTAATTGGTGAGAACTGTATTGAAATTGCTCAAGCTGTTTAACTGTACACATTTCGTATTTACGTTTGTCAGTATGGATGGATGAATGGATACTTTTTACTCTTTCAAGTAAAAACTACTGTACACATTTTAAAATAAATTTAGTATACAGAAGCCTCATCTATGGTATACAAATAAATAAAATTGAAGTGTCTATTTGTAATTTCACTAGTTCTTCCTAATCTCTGAAACGGTTAGATCGATTGTGATGAGACTTACACTCACAGATACCTAATATTATGAGGAGTAATTTAAACCACTTTAATTTAGAAATCTTATTTAAATAAATAAAAAGTTAAATTATACGACTACAAAGTCACGGGTAATAGCTTGTATACAATATCAATACAAAGTACTATTTATATGAACTGAAATGGGATGTAGTTAGTAATAAATACATATGTTTGAATAAGTCGACCTCAGCAAGAGGTACCTCCGCATGCCGAGACTTATTTGAACAAATATTTGTATGCCCTATTAATTAATTTGAATTATTCGCCTTGTGTTTGACTTGCCGCACAACTGTGGGCACTATTTGTCATCGCATTGAAATTGTTAGTTTGCGTAGTGAGAATAACAGCAGAGAAGAGAGTTTGTTATAACATAACAACACCGTTTACAAGCTTCTAGGCTAATTAGATCATAAATGCTGAGTGGAAGTCACTTTCAGCGTCACTTAGATTGGAAATTAAAGTAAAAATGACATGTGGAGGATGATAAAATGAGCATGAGGTGATGTCAGTTAGCTCATTGCGACAAATTGACCAAGATTTTTTGTCACGATGATTTCCTGGGGGAACCGCGTGGAGGTCAACCTGACATGGTACATTGCGAGCAATAAGATCATAGTCCACATTAATATATAATATTACAATTAATATATAATATTACAGTACGATCAATAGGATAAGCTGTAATGAAAAATATTGCAACAATATTGAGAATTTAATAATTTTTGTATACGATGTGATGCGTTTCAGCTTTTGATAATGAGGTAAAACGTTTACTCTGTAAAAAATACAGTAATACAAAAATAAAATAATACAAATAGAAATCGTCATATAACAAAATCAGAAGTAATACACCGAAATGACGGTTGAAAAGAATAAAAATACAAAGAAAACTCAAACAGTGTCCTTTCACAGGTTGGTATAGTAAAGAACAATAGATACTCGAAGGCTGGGTTCATGACGACCGTAACTCCTTTAGTGTTCAAGAACAAAAAGAAGCTGGAGCACATGAAGACTGTGTCTGAAAATTGCGACAAAGAGGTAAGAACAAATTGTTAATTCATAATTATGTCAAAACTTTTTTCAGCAGTTTCAAATACAAATCTCCACCAATTGCATAAAAAATGAATAATGATGACTAATGAACGCTTTTTTACAATACTCATAAGGTTTTGATAATTCATTTTACAAGGTAATACAAAAAAATGTATTACATTATTAAAAAAAAGCACACACTCATAGTTAAAATGGGTTTAGGATTTAGTTTTTGTTTCTTGTACATATTATAAAATCGTAACGTGGCGAAAAATGTCTGTATAAGATCAAGCTTAACGTTAAAACGACTGAAGGAATTATATGCAATTTTCTAAGAATATAGTTTATGTATGGGCTAAAGAAATCGGCGACAAATACGATATAAAATTTACCCAGCAAATGTCACATAGTAAAGAGCGATAGGTGTATATTATTTGTTCCAACTTAAGAATAAAACAAAAAATATTTCAATATCGTGTAGATTATTAAAAAAAAGCAAAAACAAAAATATTTAGTAGTATAAATACAACACAACGATTGTTTAGACAATTGATTATAAAAATGGTCAGAAAATATATCTGACCTTGACACATTAAAGTTTCCTTGTAAAGTATGCGACCTATATATTTTCGCCGAAACCTTTTTCAAATCTGTCAAGGAATACCATAGAGCAACTGATTGTTAGCAAACTCCAAACATGTAGAGAATCCTATAATATTCAAATTTCCGCAGCCATAAAACAAGGGTATTTGAGCCGTGATGTACAGAACCAAAGTTAAATGAAAAAGCAGTGAAGCGCGAATCGGCAGTATAGTTGATTGAATAATCCATTCCTGATAGTGAATATACTGTACTAATTCATCTCTAAATTTTAACAGTACTCTGGAATTTAGTATGCTCATATCTCGGAATGGCTATAATTTTGTTATAGAATTTTCTCTTTTTTTATGTATTTGGAATGAGTACTGAATCGTTTCTAATGTTAATAGTACTCTGGAATTTAGTGTACTGATATTCTGGAATGCCTATAATTTTGTTATAGAATTTTCTCTTCTTTTATGTTTTTGGAAGAGAATTTGGAATAGCACTGATTTGTCTCTAATTTTTAACAGTACTCTGGAACTTAGTGTGCTGATATCCCGGAATGACTATAATCTTGTTATTGAATTTTCTTTTCTTTTATATTTTTGGAATGAGTACTGATTCATCTCTAATTTTGAATAGTACTCTGGAATTTAGTGTGCTCATATCCCGGAATGGCTATAATCTTGTTATTGGATTTTCTTCTCTTTTATATTTTGAAATGAGTACTGATTCGTTTCTAATTTTAACAGTACTTTGGAATTTAGTGTGCTCATATCCCGGAATGGCTATAATTTTGTTATTGGATTTTGCTTCTCTTTTTTGTTTTTGGAATACGTACTGATTTGTCTCTAAATTTTAAAAGTACTCTGGACTTTAGCTGTCCCGAATTAGTTATAATTTTGTTGCAGTAGTTTTTATACAATTGGAATGACTATAACTCTATGGGATTAATAAAGGATAGTAATCGTCGCATGACAATATCACAAAAAATTATCACGATATTTTTCAACCGCGTGGAGGTCAACATTACTAACAATCCCCCAAATATCCGTGGTTATATGTAGCAATATAAATGCTTAAGAAAGTGTAAAATGTGGTTATACTTTTTAATTTAACAAGGAGAAACGTGATTCAGGGCCAGAACAATAAGAAACCGCGGAATTGAATTTCTAATTAAAATATACGAGATAATGGTTTTGGGAATTGTGTAAATTGAGCCTTTTGACGCTTATGTCTACAGAATATGATTGACATTTATTAGAGAGGAAAATGAATTAATAGAATAACATTTTTTCAGCGACTTGGAACTAGGATATTATTAATTATACTATTGTCAATTGTTTTACTTAATTTCTTACTGCCTTTTTGCAGTTCTAAGAAATACAAATATTATATGTTAGGTAAAGTTGTTACAAAAAAGTATTGCAAAATATCTTTATGTCTTTGAAGACTATACAATTCAAAATCAAAGATAGGTAGATAGATAGATAAATAAAATTTTTATTCACGTTAAAGGCACACACACACACAATACACTGTATAATAAAAACAGATATACAATTACATTAGTCAAGTCAAACAAAATACAATACACAACAAATATATAATACAAATAAAATAAAATGCAACACAGATAACAAAAAAAAACGGTATGAGTAACATACATATGTGTGCATAGCCCATACGGGAAAAGGCAGCACCTCCGTGTATTGTTTGCAGCATACAAGCAGCAAACCACAGATATTCAGGCACTGCCCAGAGACATACGCGAGGACGCATGTAACAGCTTCTAATCAGCCCTATTAGATTGTAATAAATAGCAATAATTATTAAAAAAAAAACTATGATAAAATAAGAAATAGGTATAACATATAGGCATAAAATATATAGAAAATTATTATCAATTCATATAATAAAATAAATATGAAAAACAAAAGAGAAAATAAACTTATTGCATAGGAGTGTTAAGTCATCATCATCATCATCATCTGCTTCTTCCTTATCCCATTTATTTGGGGTCGGCGTAATATGTTTTTCGTTTCCATTCATCCCTGTTCGCAGTCATCGCGTTATTTACTTCCTTTCTTACCATATCATCTTTCACACAGTCCATCCATCTCTTTTTCGGCCTTCCTCTGCCCTTATAACCATCCACATTCATTTGTAACATCTTTCTTAAAATATTATCCTTGTTCCTACGCATTACATGTCCATACCATGATAGATGATTACTCTTCAACCTCTCTGACACCGGTGCCACTTTCATACTTCCTCTAATGTATTCATTCTTTATCTTATCCATTCTTGTCACACCACACATCCACCTCAACATTCTCATTTCAGTTGCATGCAGTCGTCTTTCATCCGTCGCCTTTAGTGTTAAGTGTTGAGTGCAAAACAAAGACAACATTGTTTAACCATATTGGTTTGCTATTTCTTTGAATTTGAGGAACATATTTTTTCATGCATTTCCAAAGGATATGTTACGATTCCAGTGTCATTTATGTTAACAATAAAAATAGTTCTTGTATCTTTAAGTTTTTGCAGTTTTACTAATAACGCGTAACATGTACAAATGAAATATCTATACATATAAATAAAATTGAAGTGTCTGTTTGTAATATTGAAATAACGGTTTTTTAATACATGCATATGAATATAAATACTATACATACTTACATCAAAATAACATTTTTTACGATTTTTGTCTGTCTGTCTCTTTGTTCCGGCTAATCTTTGAAATGGCTGGACTGATTTCGACGTGACGTTTTTTGGCAGGCAGCTGATTAATTAAAAAAAACATATTATAGAAAAATAAAGTTAAGTTCCACGCGGAGTAAGTCGCGGGAATAGCTATATATACATATATATCTATATATATAGTGCAATTGAAAATTACTTCTTTTAAGTACTAACACTACATAAAAAATATTGAATATCTCCTACTTTTCGAAGTCAGTTGAAAATGTCCGAAGACAACGCACTAACTTTGTACTAACAAAATAAAAAGAAAACTTTGGAAAACTGTCATGAAAGCAACGGAAATCGTTTTTCCCAACAGGAAAATATCCGGTCTCTGGCTTACCTGTGTAACCTAACAGAAAAAGATTAACCTGGCTGCTAGCTTACTTATTTTTATTACCAGCCAAGCAAACACGAAAGTACTGGGAAGCATTTAAAAATATAGTATTACTACAGAAAAAAATACTAAATAGACTTATATTACGAATAGAATAGAATAGAAAAAAATCGTTTATTCGAATAAACTTAATTTAAGCTCTTACGGCATGCGATTTCAGGCTTTTATCAATATACTAGTATAAATGCGAAATTTTGTGAGTATGTATATTTGTAACTCTTTCACACAAAAAATAAGGAACGGATTTTGATGAAACTTTACAGTAATATTGCTTATGGATCACATTACATAGGCTATATTTTTTATTAAAATTTATATACTGAAATTTAACGCGGGCGAAACCGCGGCCACAGCTAGTATACAATAATTGAGGTTCTTCTTTTACTTAAACTAAGATATCTCCTAAAGTGATTGTTGATATAAAAAAATTGATAGGGCATTTTGTTCAAAATTAAACACTTATTATAGGTAACGTATTTATTCGAATAAGGATTAATATCATGTTTATAAAAACATCTTCGCAAATAATTCATTCATTCATTCATAAGAAATTATATTATTTATTTGCTACGTTTCATTGCTGCTCCGCTCCTATTGGTCGAAGCGTGATATTATAGCCTGTAGCACTCGGGATAAAATACTATTCTAACACTGAAAGATTTTTCAATCGGATCAGTAGAATAAACCAACATGTTTGTATGTTTGTTTGTTCAGAATAATCTCCGGTTCCTCCTTTATAATTATTAGTGTAGATATTTCATTCAATAAGCAATATAAAAGTGTTAAAATAAATAACGTTAAACAATATGTAATGGTCATACAAGTAAGCCGAATACAATCATCAATATTGTATTCAGGTAAGAATAAAGAATAGAATAGAATAGAATAGAATAGAAAATCATTTATTCAAATAAACTTAATTTAAGCACTTTTGAGTAGTCATAACAGGTTTTTTTATCTACCACTCATTCGTAAAGCTGCCTCATCATAAGAACATAGTTTCCGGATAATTCGCGGTCTTCTAGTATTACTTCCCTAAAATTTAGTCAAGCGCAGTGATGGCCGACTCATCCGTCATACTTGTGAACGAGTTCTGCTTGTTCACAATAATCTTATTGTGTAAATAACATTTTAACCCTAATAGATTAGTGGTAGTTAGTATTTTGTATTCAGACAACACAACATAACATTGTAAAGTTAAATTTCTGTAAAAGAGCATCACGCAAGATTCTTGCTCGTTCTTCTTGCGATGAGAAAGGTCTCCGAATGAGCTGTAGATTATAAATAACTATTCAAAAGTGCTTAAATTAAGTTTATTTGAATAAAGGATTTTCTATTCTATTCTACTGGTGTCATAAAATTATTATATACACAGCAATTTGTCAGGCGTTGCGCCATAGTAACTCTAGTTAAATATATAGCTAATATATGCTATTACATTAGCATAGAAAAGTCATTAAGGTAGCTAAGTACTAAGTATTTAAGTAGTTATACTGTAATTAAAGAGAGAGATTGGATTTTGTTATAAGAATAGTAAAGTCCGGCACTACTGGATAACTTTGAAAAAGAAAGAAATTTTTGTTTGAAAATTTCATTCCAAAGTGAAATAGTTCAGGCTTTTGTGGTCCCCGAGCCAGCTGCTTATTTAGTCAATCATTTTATCTTGGTCGAATACTTCTGAAATGGTTAAAGTAGTTGTATTAGGAAGCCTGGTGAAATCAGCTGTGGTTTTGAAGATGGGTTATGAAGCATGACCCTCGTAACCGCAGCTGAAATTCACCAGGCTCTATAATACCTTAACCATTATAGAAGTTTTGAGCCGGAATGAAATTAGTCACATTGACCTGTTGCTCGTTCGCGATTATATTATGTTAAAATAAATAAAACTCACAAAAGTAAGTACCCAAACGAGGACGCAACGGAATGCTTGTCATAAAATAATTCTATAGAACGATCTTGTTTGTTACAGCAAAATTCAAACTCGAAATTTCATTTTAACATTTAACATATTACCTAGTAGTTCCCTATTGTTTATAATCAAATAAACACATTACAATATAGGCCTCGGTTGGTAGCAGTTTAGCACACCTTGCTTCCGATGGTCTCGGGTTCGATTCCTCGCATGGTACAAATATTTGTATTTATTAATATGATTGTATTGTATCGGTCTGTGTATTTTCTATGTATAATATATATGTATTTGCGAAAAAAATATATATCGACATATTTGTATCAGTTATCTAGTACCCGTGCGTAAGTCAAATACATGGTAGTGTTGTGTTTTTAATTTTTTTTTTTAATTATATTTATTTTTATGAAAATTTAAAAAAATATATTTGCATTCTGCACTAACTAATTACGTACTGACGATCGGTGATGGGTTTTTTAAAAGCAAAGAAAGTTCATTAAAAAATTTATTTAATTCTAACTTACAATTTAGGATTAGGATTCGTCTTATACTAAATTAACCTATTCGCGTTCGCGACTAAAACTAGAGTGCTCGTCCTACCATCCTTTGTTCTCGTACTTCTTGGATGCCGCTCATTTGAGTCAGCAACTGTTAGAAAGTTGGGACTTTCCAAGAACAATCGCTATCCAAGAATAGTCGGTATCCATACCGATTGTGTAACTACAGGTTGGTAGTATGGACTTAGGGAGTTTGTACTCGTAACAAACTACATAATAATTGTGAGCGATTTCATACTACACCGTCCACGTAAGTTTCATAAAAAGTGGTAGAAAATTTTTTCGCGTATTGATGTACCAGAAAATTCTTTTACAATTAATCAAGCGAAATTTCTAAACTCTAATCGACAACGTTCAATGAATGCTTAAAATAATTTAAGATTCTCAAACGAAGTAATCTAAAGTTTTGCGTGTAAAGTTTCGTTTTAAATTTAATATTGGTTTCAAGATTGGTTGGACAAGACGTACCTACTTACTCTTAACCGAAGGCCTCGCTCTTGACATTCGTGAAAGATATTCTGAAACTATTGTAAAACTATTTTTTAGTTTTGTTAAAGTTTTTACTAACTATTTTTAACGGCCTCGGTAGTCTAGTGGTTTAGCACACCGCATTATTTCCGATGGTCGCGGGTTCGAATCCTCGCACGGTACAAACATTTGTAGTCATGAGTATGATTGTTTGTATCGATCTGGGTGTTTTCTAAGTATATACAAAAAAAATGAATTTATTTCAGTTGTCCAGTACTCATAACATAAACTCTGCTTAACTTGGGACTAGTAGGCGCTGTGTGTACAGTCCAACAATATTATTATTTTATTATTAAACGAAACTTATTAGAATGGAAAATTAAAAAAAAATAATTTACCGTTTACGATATAATATCGTATATATTATATATGATATTCAGGATGCAGGTAGTGCAGCTATTTAACACATGACTTCGCGTTTTTACAGACCTTTATTCAACTCCTATATAATGGATCGTAGAGTGAACAACTACACTCTATATCCTGAGGTTTTTTAAGTGTATATTAAGATCTATATATCTATCTATTTGTTAAAATATATAGTTACAGAACTACATATGTTTTATCCATGAACTAGTAACCGACCCCGGCTTCGCCCGAGCGATTATATATATAATTGGCTGTGCCCGCGATTTCGCCTGCGTGGAAATTAACTTTATTTTTCTAAAACAAAAGATTTTTTTTTCCGGAACAAACAGACAGACAGGCGGACAAAAAATGTACCGTATTTATATTCATATGCATGTAGAATATAAATACGGTAATAATGAAATAGAAATATAATGAAATAGAATATAAATAATGTAAAAAACGTTTATTTCAATATTACAAACAGACACTAAAATTTTATATATATATATATGTATAGATTATTACAATAATTATTAATTTTCATTATTTTCGTTTACAATATTATTGACTTTACAAAAACATGTATATCTTTATTTAAGTAAATCCGTTGAAGATACTCATGATAGTCTATTATCAGTTGGGAAAGTCGTATGAGTGCAGAGTAATTGAAATTGAACATAATTATAATATATGTTAAAGTTTAATTTATTTTTATCAATTCACAGGTCAACCATAGCACAGAAACTCCGTGTCAACTTGGGAATGAAATTACTGCTTGCATTTTCAAATACGCACCCGAGCTACATTTGAAGGCGTGAAATTTACATATATTTTCCGAAAAAATATTTGTCAACTAAACATATTCCGTATCTGTTGTAATAAAGTGAATTTATTTTTTATAATACTTTTTTTATGATTGAATTAGTTTCTAAACATTTTTATTATTAAAACTTCTTTAAAAACCTCATTTTATAATAAGGTTTCTTAATACACGTGATACCCCTGGTGTTTCAGGCGTCCATAGGCTATGGTAACTATTTACCATTATCTGATGGTAAATAGGGTTGTGTTTCTTTACCAAATGGAAGTATAAAAATAACTGTGATACTCTTAATGCGTTGCCATTCCAGATGACTGAGATGAAAGAAAGAAAAAAGAAAGAAAGAAAAATATTTTATTCAGTGCAATGTAAAAAATACAATGTAAACAACAAACGAGAAAAAAAGAGCAAATAAAATGTATATATAATTAATGAGGTGTCTATATACTGTAATTGAATAATAATTAATTTACTTAACTTTAATACACAAAAACAATGTGTACATATGGCGAACTTAATACCTTTCGGCGTTATCTACCAGTCAACCATGAGTGGTGCAGAGAAAGATTGTCGGCGGTGCAATATAAATGAGAAATGTCAAAAAAAGAGATACATAAATATAAAGCAAAATATTTATATGTAAATTTCTACAAAAAAAGTAATAGTTGTAAGTACACCACAAAGCGTAAAAATAGTAAACGCTTATAAAATGAGACAACAATAAAAAAAAAAACCAGTAATATTACCAACTACAGGAACTATTTCTAAAACGCTACATAAAGCAATAGAAGATCTGAAATTAAATAAACTAATCTACTATTCTACCCTTCTGCAGTATAACTAATCTTACACTGCAAAAGGCTGTTTACTTAGATACATGTGCAATGGTCCGTCACTTCCTAAGTGCTACAACAGAATAAAAATGAACATCATCACGCAAAATAAAGTAATGAGAGACTTGGCAAGTCCTGTCTTCGCTACTAATCACCAGCTGTACTGTGAAAAAGAGAAAATAATAATAATAATAATAAAATCCGTCATAATCCGTCATACTCGTGAACGGGTGCTGCTTGTGAGGACGGGTCTGTTTAGGTTACGAAAGCTGATTTTTTCTTTTTGCAATAACATATGCTGGTGGTCACTATATTCCAAATTTGAATTTGAATGAATCTGTGTATTATTGTAAACATGTACAACATTTATTTAAAAAGAATACTAGCTGAGTTTCTTGTCAGTTCTTCTCATCTCGAAATCATTCCGAACTGACTGTAGATTTGACATATCATAAGAGTCTGTAATAGACCTACTTTAATAAAGATATTTTGAATTTCAAGGACATTCAGTCAGCATTACACCATTATCAGTAGGTTTCCAATAAATTTTTTTATTCCATCATTTAACCGAAGTTCTGCCTACGGATCAAACTGGTTGACTGAAATAGGTGAGACTGAAGTACCACGACAGGATTTTTTGTAGTCTACCTCGATGGAAACTGGAACAGCGCATACGACGAGCTCGTATACGACTCTAATAATATTAGGGTAAAAAAGCATATTACATATGTAAAATTCTTGGAATGTCAGAAAATTGTTTCGTATAATAAATGTTAATGGTATTCAAAAGCTTGTCATATACATGCAAATGTGTGAGAGAACACTTGTTTGGGAAAGGGTTGGACTACATGTACTTGTAGCTGTTACAGGTGTATATTTTAGTCCCTTTATGTACATGAAATTGTACATTTTGCATACTTTTTTTATTGAGTGTCGTAAAATATGCGTGTGCACTATTTTCAGTGTACACTGAAGTGTAGTAATAATATTCTGGAACGAGTAAAAATGTACTGTTTTTAGTGCTTGTTTACTAAAGGCGTTGTTAAAAGGACGGTAGGGGAAAAAATTAAATTAGAATATAAAATATTTGACGTTCATAAGCGGCTAAAATGTCCTACATGAATAAATGATTTTTGAATTTGAAAATTTGAATTTGTCAGCGCTATGGATTTTAAGATTTTCTATTAGAACATTATTATCTCTAATGAATTCTTAAATTTTATAGTAAGTTTTTTTAAAAAGGAAGATATTATTTGACATTTAAATCTTTTTTCAGGCAGATTTGTAACAGATTCTGCTAGTTTGTTGTAAAACCTTACGCAATTGCCATAAAACGAATTACTAACTTTAGCCAAACGACATTTAGGTAAAATCAGTTTGTTATTGTTACGTAAGCATTTATTAGTGTAATCACTAACTCTTTTGAAATTATCTATATTCTTCCTGGCATACATGATATTTTCATAAATGTATTGAGAAGCAACTATAAATATGTACCATGGATACTATAAATGGGTTTATCTGTAAGTTTCTTAAGCCGTGTAAACTGTGATTACCGAAATAGATTTTGTTTCGTATAAAAAACACTTTTGTGTTGACATTATCTGAGATTAATCAACAAAAGCTATACATCAACGTTGACTATTATGATATGAAGAGGGAAGGAAAACCTTTTCATATTAAAAAATATTCCAGTCTGTGCAAACAACACGAGTAACAAAAGTACAAAAATAAATAGACGATTTAAAATTCTTTATTGAATTTAGTTGAATACAATACGAAAAAAATAAATATTAAAAATAAAAATTAAACTGTGTACAACACAGTATAAATAACATTTATTATAAGAAAGTAATAGCTACAAACAATTACAAAAGATGTTATCGTAATCTAGTCAATCTTAATACGCATATCAAATCTGATCATATTTTTTATATGCACTTACATATCTTATTTTAATACACATTAACAATTAAAATAATTAATGTTGATTTTGGATCAAATAAATATAATTATAATAATATTTCCTAATGCTAATTACTAGACATTACCTATTGTACGTCTGATGCTAGCAACGTATCATGTCAGGTTGACCTCCACGCGGTTCGCTCTGGAAATCATCGTGATTAATTTCCCGTGAATTTGTCACAATGGGCTAACTGATCTGACTTCATGCTGATCTTATCTCCACTGGTGCCCCGCCAGCGTAAACCGTTAGCACATTATCATCCACTAAAAAACTCGTCCATTTTGTATCTGTTTTCTTTGGTTATCGATCGAAAATACGTAAAATTTTGTGCAAAATCCACTCCCTAACTCCACCGAATATCACCAACTAATCGAAGTAGATCGCAATGATATCGCGCAATAAACAAAAAATAAACATGTCGTTTTAAAATCTCCTCCCTTTGGTTATCGGTTGAAAATACGTTAAATTTTGTGCAAAATCCACTCCCTGACTCCACCGAATATCACCAACTAAGCGAAGCAGAGTATATGCGAAGCATTTTAATATTTTTCGCGCCAAAACTTCCCTTGAGCGTGACACGGCGTCCCCCGCCATGTTTTCGTGTTGTATTTTGATGGGTGTTATTTTTATTTTTTATCGCTCGCTTCGTATTGCGTGCTTGAATTCGTATTAGCTCTTTAAATATATAATGAGCGCTGTGTTTATAGGGACGAATGGTAGACGGTGAAATAAAACGAATGTTATATTTGGATGACAAAGTAATTAGGTACAATTTATAACATTTATTTAGAATAGCATGTATATTTATTACAACATAAAAATTGAATATAAACATATGTAATATTTATTAAAATTAGCATACTAAAGTATACCTAAACATAAAGTGATCTGTAAAATTTCTACATATCATAAAATGAATTCGCTGCCGTTGTCTGTTCGCTTCGATCTCTTAAACTACACAACCATTTTAATGCAGTTTTAAGCAATACCTATATAGATATAATGAGGAAGGTTTATATGTATACATTTAGATATATGTAGCATGTATGGAAGCTAATTATTTATAAATAAATCAAACAGGGAGTAGGTAACTCAGTTTCAACTACTTCTACCTGAATAACTTTTCTAAAGAAGACACGTTGAAATTTTATATGTTTGTTTAAAGTTACAATGATTGTTACGATCATTTTATAATTAACAGTTGCAAATTAACATTCAGATTTCGACTTTATCTCTTTGAGAAAGTAGTTCAGTTTCGTCTGTAATCATCGTCAATATATGGATAGATAGATATTTTTTTAATTTTTACAAAGTCTACAATCACTGTCCTCTAACACTTCTATCGGGGTTTATCTACAGGTACGTGGTTCTCACTTATTTACTAAATAGGTACTATTTATATTATTGAGACAGTATTTTAATGCACACATGAAATACAGTTTTCAGATTTTATAATATTTATATTACATAGTAATACTGAATCTGATTTCGACTTGGTACCCTGTACTACTGACTCTGTTTATTGATTGATGATAGGTAATTTACAGTCGCCTCAAGTATTAGATTTTTATATCGATACAAACAAACATTACGGCTCTTACGACAAGTCAATATTTTATTTATATCCGTCCCGCATCTTGTCCTTACATAAAATTCATGAAACCCTAGACCTGAGGGAGAAATAACTACACCCTTCATCAACAAAGTGGGTAGAGTGAAGATCGATTGGCTTCTCTCATATAACACTCTACAGAAAAGGTAAAACTAGGACGACAAAATTTCTGTACCTTATTTTTATTATATACGGAAATTTAAACAACTTAAATGCATTTCACTTTTTTGGGAAAATAGTTTTAACTCCAGTATATATGAGCCTCAACTTCTCGCTTCGCAAGATAAGATGCATTGAATTGACTCTACTCTGAAGACTAGTAATGATGTGGCAACATCATTAATATCATTAATATTTTACTTGCCCCCATTTCCTTCATTCATTTCATTATTTACTTAATATATTGTCATAAATGATATGACAACATATCAAGTAAATAATTAGTTTATTAGCATACAACGTTATAATTTTATTTTCTCATTGCTTTCTTGATTTAATTGATTGATTTTAGAAATATGAAAGCGTAGCGGTTTTTGTATTGATTGTCGCATGCATTCTTATGTAAAATGTGAATACTATAACTA